GTGTAGCTTCGGAAAATGGCTCCATCGCATTGGGCAAGTCGCTGTCAGAATCCCGGTCTACTCTGCGGCCGGAGAAGTCGAACAGCCCCCTGCACGTTGGAGGGTGACGTGGGCTTAGGCAGTGTAGGGCATAGCAGGTGCCTGGCTTCAAACCCATCAGCTGCTCTTATTCATGTCTGGGAAGGAGGAAAGGGCTCCTTCCGAAGCTGAACCAGGCATAGTAAATGCTCAAAAGCAGCTCCTCCAACTGAGGAAGAAATAACAGCCATGCGAGTAATAAACAAAACTGAAGCTTCCTCCTAGCTGTTTGGGAGATCCAGAGATCAGCTTTCTCTGGAGTGTGTGTGTGTGTGTGTGTGTGTCTGTCTGTCTGTGTGTCTGTGTTTTCCATTTGCAACTGCGGCTACTGCCGAATGTACTTAAGACCAAGAGAAGCCGTTCAGCATTTTACCCCTCTGTTTAAAAAATTGTGCAAAGAAAGCCCCAGAGTAAGCAAGTTTGAGTCTGTATCTCCAGTGCAATGAAAGATTGGCATGGAAAGCAACATTTCATTACATCTTGGCCTCCTATTCCCTGCTGGTGTCTGAGGCCCAGGTCATCAGGCCTTGGCCAGGTGGGTGGACAGGGGGAACAGCTCCCAGACTGCCTTGGCCGGGGAGGGTGCCCCCGGGGAGCCCCTCGGCCTGCTGAACTTCCTCCAGGGCAGATGGTACCATGGTGAAGATGAGCTCCCTACCTCCTGCTGAATGTGAGCGTCAGCAGGATTCCGTTCTTTTTTATTGCCTTCGAGACACATGCTGACTTGGTCAAAATCGCTTCGGCAAGATGTGACTGATGATGTATGAAATGAAAACTCCTTGCCCGGTGCTGGGAGGCCGGCGGGCTGTGGACACTCGCCTGGGCTGGCCAGACACAATGATACCCCTCACGTTTCCAGGCTGTCTTTCCACCAGGCCGAGCTGGCTGCAAGTGTGGAGCAGACTGGGGCAGATCTGGTTACGGCAGCCGGGGAGTCCAGCGCTGGGTGCCCAGCTGGGGGAACCACAGCTGGGGTGGGGGCTGGGGCGCTGGCTGCTGGGAACTGAGAGAGGCCCCAAGGAGGTTTCTGGGCCCTGGATGGCACGGGAGGGCTGCTGGGGGACAATGAGGGGATCAGAATGCAAGCACTGCCCCTTCGTCGCTAGTACCGGGCTCCCGCTCTGCTCTCCTGCTCTCACCCCTGCTCTGGATCTCTCATAGTCAGGACAAATGGGCCTTTCTCTGCTTGACCCAAAAGCAGACCATCATGAAGAATTGTGTTGTTACTTTTAACTTAGAAGGCTTTCCTGTTAATGTATTTTCCTTTTCATCCAGATGGTAACACACATTGATCAAATGTTTTCTCTGTGCCCCAAGGCACCTTGCAAAGCACCTGACATGAATTGATTTCACTTCCAAATCCTCCTGGCAACCCTGGGAGACAAGTGACCCTAGGAGATGGGCGCTAATAGGCTCCCATTATACAGATGGGGGAACTGAGGCTCAGAGAGTTTAAATCCCCGAGACATGAGTACAAGTGGCAGGCCTGGGGTGTGAAACCAGACAGACAGGCTCCCAGGACCAGGCTGCTAGCTCCCATCCGACTTTCTCTAAACACTCTCGAAGAGTTTGCTGGCGTCCTCGGCTCTCAAAGCAGCATCTGATGTATTCCCAGCCAGATATTTCTTGCCTGTGTGTTGGCATTCATTCGTTCGTTCGTTCTGTAATCAAGCAAGCCTTCCCTGAGGGCCTGGGGCAGTGCTGGGCACTGCTGTGGGGGAGGAAGCAGGGAAAATAGAGACACCCCCGCCCCAGCACGGATTACGGGAAAGATAAGCCTAAGTGAGGTTGTGGGAATTCAGAGAGAACCTTATCTTGCCCAGGTCCTGGATACAGAGAGCATGTTTTCTCTTCATCTTGCATGAGAAAAGATGGCATCCCAGAGGAAGGGTCCCGGGGTGGGGGGTCTGGGAGACACCGCAGCTGGCGCCTGCATAGTAGGTCCTCAGCCAACGGTGCTCCTTAGGTGTTGGCTGTCCTTAGTGCTATTCACTCCGTGGGTACTTATTGAGCACCTGCTGTGTGCCAAGCTCCCATGGGCTCCGGTGGGATGCACGGGGCGGGGAGGGGGGGTGTGGGACACTATAATCCTTGCTTCAGGGCCTTCCTGGTTGAGGGGGGACAGGGTAGATGCAGACCAACCAGTTGTTTTCATATGTAAATCGGTAGCACCACTACCTGCCGCCCCCGCCCCCAGCCTCCAATGCCTATCAGAATCCCCCCAGATGACTTGAGAGTGGATTAAAAAGCAGAGAAGGCCGTTGCTTTCGGGAAGAAAGTAACCTCCTTCATCTCAGCTGGTGTTGGAAGTGGGCATAGCAGTTGCAATGATTTTGCCCCTGGAGGGCCAGCCCCGGGGACACGGGGCCGCTCAGGGGCAACAAAGCCTGGCGTCTGTCCCTCATTCTGCAGGGCCTGTGCACCTGCTGGTCGCTCTGCCTAGGATGCCTTTCCCTGGGAAAGCTGTCCCCTCCTCATCCTTCCAGGACTCAGCTCAGAGCGTCTCCTCCAGGAGATCCCCTTCCCATCTCCCCCTCCCCCCCTCCCACCACCTCACCCTGTTGACTTAGCCCTGTCTTTATCACAGGCCAAGATGATGTCGGTCGCACCCTCAGCGGCGGACACGGGTTCCCTGTCCACTGCTCTGGCTGCCCTTACAGGTCCCTGTGTTAGCTTTCCCCCCACCATGATGCCCATCCGTGTCTTTCCTCCCTGACCCTCCTGTGTTCCCTGTGCTGCCCGGCTCCAGCTGCTGAGAGCACCACCTCCTTCCCCGAGAGCATTGAGGGACAGCACTGCCACCCCTCCTGCCCCCAAATCCTGTTGAAGCTTGCTGCTTTGTCTCCTCTGGGCTGAATGCCAGCTTTGTCATGGAGGCGGCCTCACCGCGGTACCCTCCCGCCCAGCACGGTGCTTGGCACCGGGATGGGTCACATAATTTGCAGGGTCCGGTGCAAGAGGAAAGCAGGGGCCCTCTGTTCACAGATTAGGATGATTGGCAATACTGAAGCAGCAGAACAGAAAGCCAAGCGTGAGGCCCTTCTGAGCGTGCAGGCCTGGGCGTCTAGGCGGGTTGCATGCCCATGAAGCCCACTCTGCCTGCCACCCAGGAAGGACTTGGCAAACTTTTGTTGAAGGAAAGAGTTCATGGATAAAGGGCAGGTGGAGGGGGCTTTCAAAGTGCCTCGACTGACAGGTGGGCAGAGGCCCAGCCCTGGGCCTGCGGGCTCAGGACCTGTTCCATCTGGAAGCCGGGGGCCTCAGTAACAGGGCCGGAGAATGTGATAGGAATGTCTATGATCTGCAAGCCTTGCATCTCCTCCTTGCCTGGCCTCTGGCCTCACGTATCCACCCACATGGCCCCTCAGGCTGCCATCTTGTCCAAAAGCCCCCAGAGGGCGGCACGGCAGAACCCTCTCTGCTCCAGAAAACTCTAGAATACCAGGTTTATCTTTTCCAATCCTGGAGCTTTCTCCTGTCCCCATGTGAGGCTGAGCCAGACTGCCCCCCGCCAACCCTTGTCTCCCAGACTCAGCCCTTCACCTTTCATCCCAAAGGTCCTGTGGTGCCCTTCCATCTAGCCCATCATCTGGGAACCCCTAGTTTGTGGATTTGCCACTTCTGAGCAGCCCCAGGAGGGGAAGGAGGCAAGGTTGAACTTGCACCCACGGCCTCACTTGCCTTCTGGGTGAAGAGCTATTTTGCTCCCATTTTTACAGATGAAGAAATGGGGTTCCTGAAGAGCAGTAATTCACTTACGGTCTCAAAGCATGCTCCAAGTTGTCGGTCCCAGTCTATGCTGGGCTCCAAGCGGCTCAGCATGCTCCCAGGATGAATGAATGCTGGGAGGGAAGGCAGAGAAGCTGTCTGGGGAGGTCTCAGGCCCAGCCCCTCAGAGGTGGACTGGACGCAAGGGGGCCTGCGGGCTCTCAGACACCGCCAGCCAGGGGCTGATGGAGAAGGGCAGACGCAGGAGTGGGGTAGGGGACAGGGTACGTAGGCTCAGGCTGAGGAGTGCTTGGAAATGAGCCGGGCCCACAAGGGGAGGAGATGGGGAGAAATCCTGCAGTCCGCACAATTTCAGTCATTTCTACAAATACTGATTGTGCAGCCCCAGCCGCTACCAGGACCTGGGTTCAAGGCGCTGCGGGTGCACAGGAGACTGAGAAAAACCCGGCCTCCCCGCCCCTCCCCCCGCCCCGCTCCGTTTCCGGTGGGGGACACAAGACAGTAAGGAAGGCACGAATAACTCAAACAGTAATTCCAGACGGTGAGGGGAGTTGAAGCAAATAAAACAAATGTGCGCAGGGGTGAGGAGGGGAGACGACCTTCTCTCTCCTGGTCTGGGAGGAAGTGGCACCCGAGCGGCACCGGGAGGTGGAGGGTTGGCCATCGGAGCTAGGCACCGACGGGGGTGGGAGGGATTAAACGGAAGGGAGAGAATTCCAGGCAGGAGGAATGGCAAGTGCAAAGACAGGCTAGCCGTAAGTTCTGGGAGGCGCGGAGGGGTCCGCCTGGCTGGAGTAAAAGGGACGGTGGTGGAGCAGAGGGACGAGAGGGACTTGGGGTCACCTCCTCCGGGAAGCCTTCTCCGATTGCTGCGCTGCCGCCGCACTCCCCCAGCTTCTTCCACCTCAGCCCAAAACGAATCGCACGGGTCCCGCTCAGGCCTCCTCCCTGTCCGACTTCGAGTCCCGAGAGGGCAGGGCCGGCTCGGATTCCTCCCTCCGCATCCCCGCGGCGCTCGGCCGGGCGCTGGGCACCGCGTGGGCACTCGGTAAATATTTGTAGAGCGCACTAGAAGGAATGAATGAACCCATTGGGCGCAGCTGGGGGGAGGGCGGGGCCGAGGGCAGGTGGGAGGCCGCGGGCGCGGGAGGGGCCCCTGGAAGCCCGTCCTACTCCTCCTCCTCCCAGGCCCCAGCGCGTACCAGTCTGGGGCTCCCGAGGCGGCCTCTCGTGCGATCAAGGGCGCGCACGGCTGGGAGAGCGACTCGGGGCCCCTGCTCTCCGCGCCGGAGTTCGGAAGAGAGTGGGTCGCCGCCGCCCGAGCGGGGCGGGAGGAAGGAGCGCTCGCTCGCCCGCCGCCTCGCTGCCTCCCCGGCGCTCGCTCTCCCGGCTCCTAGGTTTGCTGGCTGCTCCTCCCACCCGCGCCCGCCTCCTTGCTCGCTCGCTCGCTCGCTCGCTCGCTCCAGCCGGTTTCCAAGCCCCGCGGTGCGCCCGGGCGAGTGCCGGGCGAGGGGCCCCCGGGGCTAGTGCCGAGCAGGGGGCGGGGGTCCGGGCAGAGCGCAGCCGGCCGGGGAGGGGCCATGTCTGGCGCGGGCGCAGCGGGGCCCGTCTGCAGCAAGTGACCGAGCGGCGTGGACGGCCGCCTGTCCCCCTCCGCCACCTGGGGCGGCGCGGGGCCCCCGGTGCCGGGTGCCCGGAGCCCGGGTCGCGCGTAGAGCCGGCGCGATGCACGTGCGCTCGCTGCGCGCCGCGGCGCCGCACAGCTTCGTGGCGCTCTGGGCGCCCCTGCTCCTGCTGCGCTCAGCCCTGGCCGACTTCAGCCTGGACAACGAGGTGCACTCGAGCTTCATCCACCGGCGCCTCCGCAGCCAGGAGCGGCGGGAGATGCAGCGCGAGATCCTCTCTATCTTGGGCTTGCCGCATCGCCCGCGCCCCCACCTCCAGGGCAAGCACAACTCGGCGCCCATGTTCATGCTGGACCTGTACAATGCCATGGCGGTGGAGGAGGGCGGCGGGCCCGACGGCCAGGGCTTCTCCTACCCCTACAAGGCCGTCTTCAGTACCCAGGGCCCCCCTCTGGCCAGCCTGCAAGATAGCCACTTCCTCACCGACGCCGACATGGTCATGAGCTTCGTCAACCTCGGTGAGTGAGGGCGGGAGGGAGGCGGGAGGGGGGGGAGAACGTCTAGGTCAGGAGGCGCTTTGGGACTGGGAGGGGGCCACTTCTTACATCCAGTTCGCCCGTCTTTACGCTCCGGGCCGTTTGCAAAACCGCAGTGTCTGGCCGAGGGTCTCCTACTCCCGGCCCCAGGGGACCCCAAGCTGTGCGCGCCCCAGGTAGGGCGAACCGGGCTCATTTGGGCCTGTGGGAGTTAGGCGGAGGAAAGGGCTGGTCCGAAGCCCCCCTCCGGGTTAAATCGGCAGCCGCACCTCTGGGGCTGGAGGCGCCGGGCCGGCCGCGGCTCAGTTCAAAGCGCGGGGCTGGGTCATGTGAGCTGCGCCGGGCCCGCGCGGCCCCTGCTACCTGGATTTAAAGGGCCCTGCTGGGCGAAGCCGCCTTCCCGCCCTTTCGGGGCCCCTCTCAGCCCTGTCTGGACCTGGCATCGCAGGCGTCGCGCCCCCTTCCCCGCCCTGGCCAGCCCTACCTGTCCCCTCGCGGTGCGCCCGCCTTAGCGTGCCGCGCGCCGCCAGTGTCTCCGGGCCCCTCTCCTTGCGACCCGGCGCACACACCCCGTCCCCCCCCCCCCCGCCCCCGGCTCTCAGCTCTCCCGGCGGGAGCTGGGGAAGAAACGGTGCCATTGCGAGCTTTCTATTTTAAATATTTAATGATAGGTCCCAGGCGGGCAGAATCCATTTTCAGCGTTTATCACGTGTGGCGCGCAAACCACGGCTTTGGGCGATTGAGTGGCGCGGGATCTCTGAGCAGACGCTGCCGGGGGCGGACGGGGGACCTAGCTCACTCCCCGAGCCGCAGGGGCCCCGGGGACCCGAGACTGGCGCTACAGCGGGGGCGCGGTGGCTCCGCCTCCCTCCGTGCACGCACATTCACCAGACTTGCTCAAACTAACCCCCGGCAGCGCGCTGTAGGACTGATGATCAAATATTTGGTTTCCGAGATAACACACCCCGATAGCGCTGTTCCTGAGCCGATTTCATTCTACGTGTGTTACTTGCTGCGAAAATCCGAACCGAGTCAAGACAGCAAACTCACGCCCACGGGCGCCCTGTCAACAGCGCCGGGATACTGAAGCCCCCCGCTGGGCGCGCGGGGCGTGGGTGGAGGAGCCGGGAAGCGGGAATCAACCCCAAAGCTTCCAGCCCCAGATAAGGCCCGCGAGTTCCCGGGTCGCCATTGTCTGCCCTTAATAATAGCCAAAAAAAATCAAATAGTGCAACGAGTTTCAGCGAGCAAGGGGTGGGAGGTTTAGATGCCAAAACAACTTCAAGAAAGTTTAAATTATACTAAGCAGCCAGTTAGAAGGAGGCAGCTCCATATGTCCCGGTTTAGAACAATCTCCAAGATGTATGAGGTGGAAAAAACCAAGGTGCAGATCCGTGAGGTCACGTATGTGCTTGTATATCATCTGTTCCCACTGGAAGAAGACACCGTGAACTGGAAATAGATTTTACTGGGGGGCGGGGCAGGACTGGGGCTGGGGCTTAGGAGTGGGACCTGGGGTCTGATTTCTGATTTTTCACTGTCTGCACTTTTGTCTGTGTGATTTTTTTTTTTTTACAATGTGTATTTATGACCTACACCAGAAACTAAAGAAAAATTCCAAATATATATATATGTATATATATGTAAATTAAAGCAGAGCTCTGTCGCCATACTGAAGCCGGTGGTTAGCCTGGGCCAGGCCCTTTCTCTGGTGAGGGATTTATGGTATCTTCTGTTCTGTTGGGTACCCATGACTCCCAGTGAATGCAGCAGGTACTGGTGGCCTTCAGAGCCAGGCTAGGGTCATTAAAAAGGCATTTGTAAGCCCTGGCTTCTGCTAACCCAGTGCAGAAAAGCACCCTGCTTCTATGGACCAGCAACGTGGTTAGGGCTTCCCCCCCACCCCAGAACAGGAGGAGGTTGCTGACTGGGCGCCTCTGGGAACCTTGGGGCAGGGCTGTTCGCTCCCCCTGGGGGGTGGGAGCAAGCCGGGACTTGTTTGAGAAGGCCACAGCTGGGTGGTTCTCCTCTGCCTGTACACACACCTTCCAACCCGTTAGCCCCATTTCTTTCATCTCGAAAGGACAAAGACCGGCTTGTCTGAGCCTCTTAATCAGTCGGGCTGGCTTTGGGCTTTGTGGGACAGTCCTGACTTTCTCAGGTCTTGCTTTCTGGAACATCACTCCAAATTAGATGGCGCAGTGGCTTTTAACAGAGTGCGCTGACCTTGTTTTCTTTCCCTCACTGTCCCTAAAACTCGAGGTCATTAGTTGGGTGAAGACCTGGCCTGCAGTTTGGCAAGACTCCTCCTGTGGATGCTTTAAGGGTGGCCTTTCATTTCTGCTCAGCAACAGCACAGGAGGAGTAAACCGCCTGTCCCTTCCATTCTGTCGAGGGCTCCGGAATTTCTCCATAGGAGGGGCCTGGGGGTGGCTCTGGGGGTGGAGGGGAATGTGTAGGAGATTAATCTGGAAGCTAACTTTGCTGAGGAAGCACACTGATTTTCCTTGGACTGCAAATCATAATTGATCTGTAACATACAAAGTTTTCTAAAGGTGCATTTAGTCTCACACTTTATCCAATAATAAGAAAATGTCATTCGTCCGTATCAGATCATTATTTGGTAACCTGCGCGGGGGGTGCGGGCGCAGCTTTGGGGGGCTGCTGACTTTCTCCACGCACCTCCTCCTCCCTCCACTGCATACCACTGCTGTCCTGCCCTGCTTGGGGGACCTCTGACCAGATTCTGAAGGCTTTTGCAGACCTGGTGCGTTTACTCTTCCCTCTGTCTGCAGCCAAAATGGTTTTTGTTCCTCTAAGTCCTTCTCCTTGGAATTCAAGCTTTCTGCCAGGCTGAGTGGGATCTAAACTAGAGCGGGAGCTAGACGAGAATGTAGGACAAAACCAGATGCGGAGAGTGAGGACTTCAGACCCCATCTTATGACAAAGACCAGCCTGTCCCAAGAAGCCCCATGTGATGCTAGCTGAGCTACAGCAGGGGACCCACATCTCGTCGGCCGGGGCCCCTTCGGTTCAATGGCGAGATTTGTAAACTGGTTTGGATTAACAAGCCCCCGACTCCTCTGTGTAGACTTAATTTTGGATTTCAAAACAGGTTACCCTCTCTGAAATGGAACCCAGGCGATGTGAGTTCTGCAGACCGAATCTGCCAGAGCCCCCTACCATTCCCCCCCCCCCCCCCCCCCCCCCCCCCGGCCCCTGTAGAGAAATCCAGCAGTTCCTTTGGGATCTCCAAAAAGAAGCCGCCTGGCATTAGGGGGCATGTGATGCATGTTCCTCTCTGGCCCAGGTTAGGAAAGAAGCAAATTTGTTTTAATCTTCGAAGCTAAATTAAAAAAATAAAAATAAAAACTTGGAAACCAGTCATTCCTGGACTCAGTGTATAAAAGTGGCTTTTGTTAATATAGCTGAAGAGTCAGGAGAAGGCTGTGTAGTTTTTGCTTTATACCATCTGGCTGTCCTTTTTGTTGACAAGTGTTTGGCATTAAGATCTCTTGCCCCTTAAGAACAGGCCCTACCACTGTAGAGTATTAGAAAAAGATTCTGTTACAGTTTAAAAAAATTTCCTTCAGGGAGTGCTTCGGGAAAGGAGCATGGGTTGCAGGCATTTGCAGCTGTAACCTGGCTTGTGTTAAAATTTGGAAGGGGCTCTTCCACATTCCAGCACTTGGAGCAACGGCCCTCACTTGTAAGCAGCCAGAGGTTAATATAGATGTCACACAGGCTTTCCCCTGCTCGCTCGCTCGCTCGCTCGCTGCAGAGCGCCTTCGCCATAGGAGTGCACCAACAGCTGTGTTTTTAGCAACCCTTTCCAAATCACTTCTTTTAAACCTCATTTTCCTGGTTCTTAAAGATCTTCTCCCCCCCACCCCATTCCCCTTTTCCCAAGGATATATGTGACCCAGATTTGAACTTTTTTGATCTTCTTCGTATTTCCCTTCTGGGATCAAGGCAGGTTAAGGCTGAGCCCTGGATGCCAGCCTACGGGGCTACTTTTTGGTTTTTATTCCAAGGGCTCTCATTTGGTTGTGGAGTGGTCCATCCAAGGTGTAAGGGAGGTGGCCCAGATAAAAATCGATTTGCGGGCAGTGAAGGGATGATTCTCTGAATGCTCAGAGAGAAGAAAGGGCTTGCGAGCGGCGGTTCGGGGGGGCCTTTGGTCGCGTAGTAGGGCTATTATAACCTCTGCAAGATAAACACAGCTGGTGTCCGATCCCCTGACCGCCGGAATGCCTGCGATGTGAGCGAATATCACATGTCTGCTGAACTCAGAGGCAAGTGATGACTTCATTCCGGGGAGAGTCCCATCTAAGTTGATTGATCACCCCTATCGCTTTAATATCTTTTTTCCCTATTGGGTAAGGTCATATTTGGCCCCTTGCAAGAATCAGAGTGTCCTAACGCTGCCCCAGGCCCCACCCTCCCCAGCCTGTCCATCCATTTTGCCAGATGAATATTGAGAATGGAGAGCCCGAATGGCTGGCCATGTTAATTTTTTCGCAATCACTCTTCAGACCTAGCTGGGGGCTGTCGACACACTGTTTTTGGCAGGCTGCTGCAACGCTTCGCCTTAATGCACTCTGGCAGTGTCTCCGGGGTTAGGGCACAGGCAGGGATGTGTGGGACCTGTCATGTTATTGTCAGAAGGAATGCGAGGATTAGCCTTTAAAACGTGGTGGTGGGAGAGCGCGGCAGCTGTATACACTTATTATAAAAGACTTAAGTCCCACCGGTAAAATCAATATATTGAATTGCATGACCCTCTGCTTTTAATTAGTTTAAATCAAATGCGCCGGTGCCATTTTGCCTCCTCTCGCCTTCATGGGGTGAGGAAATACCAATATTTACATAGAAACTGTTAATTTGTGGTGAAAATGATAACACATTTAGCTTTACACACCCAGATTGCTCGGACTTGATGGATCCCAGAGCAGCGTGGCGTGGCGGGACGTCACCGGGGC